GACGCGTGATGTCCTCCGTCGGCCTTCTCAGTGCATGGCCAATCCATCTCCACTTCTTCCTGCATATTTGTTGCGTAAGCAGTTGTTGATGAATGTCTGTAGTTTATTGGAAATCCCTTTCGTGACGCGCCAAGTCTCTGAACCATACAAGAGCACTGACTTGACGTTGGTGTTGAAAATCCGTATCTTGTTCCGCATGCTGAGTGCAGAAGATCTCCACACTGGTTTCAGGCTAATGAACGCCTGTCTTGCTTTTCCGATTCTGACTTTGACGGCCTCGTCCGTCCCGCCTGTAGTTGAAACAGTGCTTCCTAGATAAGTGAAGGAGGTTACTTCCTTCAAGTTTCTCCCGTTCATGGTGACTGGAGTTTGTTGTTGTTGTTGTTGGAGTTGTTGGTGCGGTATCTTCATCACTTCTGTCTTCTCTATATTCACCTGAAGTCCCGTCTTCGCTGCCTCTTCTATCAACTTGTTAGTTTTTGCCTGCAGATCTTCAAGTTTATGTGATATTAGGCATAAGTCATCGGCGAAATCCAAGTCTTCTAGGTTCTTTTCCGCCGTCCAGTGTATCCCCCTCTTCTCGCTGCCTACTGTTTGCTGCATGATCCAGTCCAGTTGACCACAGTCAGGAATATCATGGGGGATAGTAGGCAACCTTGTTTCACTCCTGTCTTCACTTCAAAGGCATCACTGAGCTTCCCATTGTGAATTACTTGGCATGTGGCATCTTCATATAGTTGTTGAATGAGGCGGATAAAGGTTTGCGGTACTCCGTAGTATTGAAGCAGTTTCCAAATTACTTCTCGGTCGACGCTGTCAAAGGCCTTCTCAAAGTCGATGAAGTTGAGGCAGAGAGCTGATTGCCATTCTATGCTCTGTTCTATGATGATGCGAAGCGTTGCAATTTGGTCTGCACATGATTTGTACTTCCTGAAGCCTGCCTGCCTGTTCCGGTCGTAGTTTTGAATCCAGTGCATCCCTTAGCCTCTCCAGGATGATGCGGCTTAATATTTTACTTGGGGTGGACAGGAGAGTGATTCCGCGCCAGTTCTTGCAAGCACTGAGGTCTCCCTTCTTCGGCAGTTTGACAAGGTAACCCTTCTTCCAATCAATGGCCAGGTACCTTCTCTTCCTTCCACACCTTCTGCAATAGTGGTGTGAGCATGTCCGCTGTTGTCTCTGCATCTGTTCTCAGTGCTTCTGGCGGTATCCCATCTGGTCCTGCTGCTTTCCCACATTTCAGTAGCTTTATGGCGTTCAGGACTTCCATTTTCGTTGGGGGATTAATATTCACTTGTAATTCAGCGGCTGCAGGTGGTATTTCTGGACGAAGTGCAGGTGGTGGTCGATTCAAGAGCTTCTTGAAGTGGTCGGCCCATCGTTTCCTCTGTTTCTCTTCTTTCGTAATTAAATTTCCTTCTTCATCTTTTATTGGTTTCATCTGTGTTGGTCTCTTCCCTGATAGCAACCTGGTTATTTGATACAATGTCGTCAGGTCTCTCTTACCTGCAGCCTGTTCTGCTTCACTTGCCAGTGTGTCGTAGAAGTGTCTTTTGTCTTTCTGGGCACTCTTCTTTACTTCGTTGTCCAGTGTTTTATACATTGTGCTCAGTTCCTCTTGTTGTTGAGCATCCTTGCACTGGTTTATCTTCTGCTTCACCATCCTCCTCTCCTCTATCAGCTTCCAGGTATCCGTCGAGATCCATTCCTTGTCTTCTTTCTTCTTCCGTCCTAATACTGTTGTGCATGTTTCTTTCCACATCTCTTTCAAAGACTTCCAGTGTTCTTCCACACAGGTTTCTTCAGGGATGTTTCTCGATATCTCCCATTTTGTCTTGATGGCTGCCGTGAAGACTTCCTTTGTAGTTTCATCCTTCAGTTTCCGAGTGTTGTACTTGAGTTGAGGTCTATCACCAGCTTCCTTGAAGGCTTTTAACTTGATTTGGAAGGTTCCTTGCACTAGATGGTGAGTGGTGTGAACCTACATCTGCTCCTCTTCTTGACCTTGTGTTAAGTAGACTGCGTCTCCATTTTCTTGAGATTGAGATAAAGTCGATTTGGTTTTTAGTGTGTCCATCTGGTGAAATCCATGTCGCTTTGTGGATATCTTTGTGCCTGAACACACTGCCTCCAATCACCAAATCGTTGAATGCGCAGAATTCTACAAACAATTCTCCATTCTCATTCATTTCACCTAGCGCCTCTCGACCCATGGTTAGTTCTCTTCCCGTGTTGTCCCCTCCCAGTTTGGCATTCATGTCGCCCATCAGAATTTTGATATCGCCAACTGACGTCTTGTCCAGTGTTGATTGAAGTTGTCTGTAGAAATCCTCCTTTTTCTCTTGCTCTGCATTATTTGTAGGTGCATAACATTGTATGACTGTGACCTTTCTTCCTTTTGAGTTGAATCTTGCTGTCATGATCCTGGAGAAGATTGGTTCCCACTGCATGAGAGCCTTCGATGCTCTTGAGGACATCATGATAGCCACTCCAAACTCAGTGTGCTCGTGGTTGGCGTCTGGGTGACCGGAGTAGATTATTGATTCTCCAGTTGACAGTTTGGAGAGTCCACTCCCATTCCATCTGCTTTCGCAAATCCCAAGCACTTCGATGTTATAACTTCTCATCTCCCTTGCAATCTGGGCTGCCTTACTGGGTTCAAACATCGTGCGGACATTCCATGTCCCCACGTTTACTTTCGCTTTCATCTAGGGAGAGAAGACACATCGGCCAATTGGCTTCCTGAAGGCAGGCTTTCACCAACTGGCGTCATTTCGCCTCTCCGATTCCAGCGGGGAATAAGTTTGTTTTCATTTTTTATATTTTGTTTGTGCTTTGAAGTTTCTGTGGCGGTTAGATTTGTTTTACGGGGTAGGGTTGCTAGCCCTATGCCCAACCTTCCCTCTTTACCCGGGCTTAGGACCGGCTAGTAACTAGTAAACTAGTTAACCAGGCGAGGTTCTGAAATTCATTAGTTCAGTATTATTCTATAGAGAATTTATCATCTAATATATAACCGAAGTATTTATTGATGCATTTGACACTGTAAGTCTAGTAATCACTGATGGTTCTCATCTACACTACAGTATATTGCTATTGTACTCATGTACACATAGACCGGGCACAAACGAGGACGTCAAAGTCGGGATCGGAAAGAAAACAAGACAGGCGTTCATTAACCTGAAACCAGTGTGTAGATCTTCTGCACTCAGCATAAAGTGTGAACAAGATCCGGATTTTCAAAACTCATGTTAAATCAGTGCTTCTATATGGTTCAGAGACTTGGCGTGTCACGAAAAGCATTTCTAACAAACTACAGACATTCATCGACGACTGCCTACGATCGTTATCGAAGATCAGATGGCCAGAAATAACAAGCAACAAGGAACTCTGGCTTGGAACGAATCAACCAAGAATCTATCGTTCAACAAATATGCAGAAGGAAGTGGAGATGGATTGTGCATGCACTGAGAAGACCATTCGGGGAGATCACGCACCAGGTCAGGCACTTGAGTAGAACCAGATGGGAAACGGCGAGTTGGGCGTTTGTGCCGAGGGCGATATGGAAGAGATGGTGTGAGGAAGAAATGAGAGCTTCTGGGTAGTGATGGAGCCAGGTTGAAAAGATTGCAGAGAACAGAATGGAATGGAGACGTGCTACTGAATCCCTATGTTCCACCAGGAACCCAAGGGACAAACAGTAATTATTATACACATAGATCGGGTTTGTATGGTAATTGCAGTAGGTGCCAATAAGCTACCGTTGAGTTTAACTATCCTCATAAAAGTATGCTGTAAAATGAATTTGGTGTAGGTAACCGATCTGTTGACGTGATATACTAGCTAATTTATTAAGATAACTCGCCTAGGGTTACGAAATGATAGACGTGTTGAAGTTCCGCTGGTTAGAAATCCATTCTCACTCTACGTCTTCTAACCATTACCTCAGGGTTGCAGAGGGAATACCTTTGTTAGATAAAGAACAGTAGTTTCTATAGCGGTGTAGAAAAAGCTTCATCTGCTGCAATACCTGTAGTGATCCGTAATCCTACTGTAGGTTTGGACAGCGTGACCATTCCAATATAACCTCGTGGATACATAGATTGGTTACTGAATCACTGTTCATTGGATTGACGCTGTATATACGTCAAGTGAACTATTCAACATCTATCCAGAATATCAAGTAGTAAGTGATAATGTCGCTTTGTTCACGTCTAACAAGTTAGTTAGGCTATCATATTGAAAAATTTAAGAATTAAAAAGTGAATAAGGACAGGGAATGATGAAGTTGTTTCTGGATACACAATTCCGGTCTCCACTGTTGCATTGCCAGAGCTTCGGTGATGCAAAGTTAACATTTACTCATACCTTTTAGAAGACTACATTGTACTTTGTGGACTAGTGTGAACAAATCCTCTGGAACTAGGTGTTCGCTATCAAGCAAGTGCTGTTGATGAACGTTTACTGAGTCAAGCTAGAAGGAGTTGACGTCTGCATTGGACAATCTGTCTATGTACACAGTTCCAGGGGATCAGGTGAATTGTGATGTATGAATATTTTAGTGGCTAGCAGTGACGGTTTGTCTTTGGCACACGTGTTCATCATTGAGTGATCGGTATTTGTAGATTCGCTGCATAGAATGTCGTTTTGGCGGCTTTCATTAGTGTGCGTGTGAGAAAGTCATCTGCTGCGTCTTCATTTATGAGTTGTCTACTTGACTTACACAGCACCAGAGATACTGACGATAAAATACAATTCAATCAAAGATCATTCGTATGCCAATTTATACGATAATTCTGACAGACAGAAATACCCATTAAGATGAACATACCCAGTGCCCCAGTGAATAATATTTTGGCGTTTGAAGTGATGGATACTCGGTACAAATCTCAATGAGAACAACAGCGCTTACTGGGTTCCCGGTACATCCAGCTGGTAACTCCCAAATAGAAAGAAACATACGTTTTGGATTCCACTTCTAGCCATTAAACAGATAAGAAGAGAGAAAACAATATTTTATTTATTGAAAGATGACCAATTAAGTTGCGTCAGGATCAGTGTAACATTGAAATGGTCAATTATTAAATTGTTTATTATTTGTATATTTATCACGATTTAAATATGGTGCACAGGTTTCCATACAATCGTATTCTGTATCGAATCGATTTCTGGTTCCCAAACATCCACCGTATAAGAATGGTACACAACGATTCAGTTGTACACTGTAGGCATACGCTATAAAATGAGCTACACATGGACCTGTTTTGATTGGTTCAAGACATGTCTCTGCAGGGTATGTATTCGAAGCGTATTCATCTAAATAAAATAGAAATGAAAAGCAAATAATGTAAGTAATAAGGGAATATACTTCAAAGTGATACTTGTTTGACAATGAAACTATCAGGGGGTTTGTGGCAGTTTATTCATTGATTTTAGGTTGGAGTTCATCATGGAATGCAATCAGTTGAAGGAACGTTGGAGATATGAAGCAATGGACACGTGTTTCGAACTCGATCCCCAGACAGGTTATGAGTGCGCACTGCTCAGAAGTCCAGTACTAAGACGAAACAGTTGTCCAGTGCTCCTAGGTTTTTAATGTTCCTCCAATTGATATCAGTCAATGACGAATTCCAAACCAAAATGAAACTATCAATTACCTAAATATTATCATTTGTCCTTTGGGTTCCTAGTGGAACATAGGGATTCACTCACACGTCACCATTTCATTCTCTTCTCTACAGTCTTTTCAACCTCACTACAACACTGCTCACAAGATTTCATTTCCACCTCACATGATTCCTTCCATGTCATCCTCACCTCGGACGCCCAACTAGTCGTTTCCCAATCACCTTCCACTCGACGGCCTGCCCTGGCCCACCACGTGATGTCCCCAAACCGTCTTTCCTTCTCAGTACATGTCCGACCCAATCCAACCCATACAATCCATCTACACTCTCTTCTCTGCACATTTGTTGAGTTCTTACTTCCTTGGTTTGTTACCAACCAGCCAGCCAGCCACACACCCTTCCTGCTCATTCTTATTATTCTCGCCATCCATCTGATATTCAGTGTCAGTATCGAGTGAGTGTAGGTGACAGCTGTTCATGTGATGTATATCTGCAGTTTGTTGGAAATGCTTCGCCTCAAGGGCCACCAAGTCTCTCAACCATCACATAGAAGCACTGACTTAATTGATTGAATCGGTGTTAAAACAAATTCACATCTTGTTCTTGATGCTGAGTTGAGTTGAGTTGAGTTGAGTTGAGTGGAGTGTAGTAGATCTCCACACTGATTATTTCAGAATAATGCAGGAAGGTGTGTCTTGCTGTCTCTCCTATGCTGGCTGGCTATGACATCCTCATCTGTGCCTCCACCATCACCACCGCCGCCACGATGTGTAGTTGAAACGATGCTGCCTATGCAGGTAGGTGAAGAGACAACTTCGTCTACATTTCTCTCATTGATTGTGATTGATGCTTGTTGTTGCTGTAGATGGTGTTGTTGGTTGAGTATCTTCATCACCTCTGTGTTCTCTACGTTCATGTGAAGGAAGTGCCAGCTCCCTTCGCTTCTGTGCCTCTTCTGTCAACTTGTTGGTTTTTGCCTGTAGATCTTCGAGTTTGTGCGACAAGATATCAGACATAAATGATCATCGTTGACGAAATCCCAATCTTTTTCTGTGGTCTTTTCATTGGCTCGATTAGCGTACGCCCATCTTCCCACAGCTCCTTACAGTTGTCTGTTGCATGGTCTGGTCTAATCGATCACAATCAGGAAGATTTTCAGTGATGATAGTAGGCGGCAACCTTGTCTTATTCCTTCCTGTCTTCACTTCAAAAGCATCACCACTGAGCTTTCCATTGTGAATCACTTGGCATGTACATGGTATGGCATATAGCTGTTGTTGAATGAGGTTGATAAAGGTTAGTGGCACTGAAACCGTAGTTTTGGTGCAGGAGTTGCCGAATTACTTTTCGGTCGACCCTATCGAAAGCTTTTCTGAAGTGAATGAAGTTGAGGTGGAGAGTTGACTTGCATTCTATGCTGTGTTCTATGATGATGCATAGCGTTGAAACTTGATCCTGAAAATGATAAGCTTCTCGAATGCTCTAGTTGGTCAATGTCTCGTAGATAATCTCTGATTTGTTCGACAGTAGCTATCAAAATGCGACCTTATGAGTATAGTGAAATATGTGAACCTGCATAATATCTAAACCTTTTCAAGTGACAAGTTCTTCTTTCTACAGATTTCAACTCTGTTTTATTTGAGATTGTTTCATTAACTGCATTGGGAATCATGAAGAAGGTTGGATAACAGTAAGAAATGGAATGCGAGTAAAAAGTTGTATCTTAACTTATTATTCTTTCACTTACGTTAACGTGGTCACTGCAAAGCAAATTGTGTTTTGTATAAGCAAGTATATGAATATTTTATTTGATAATCCTAATCTTGGTCTCACGACTTTATAGTACCAGAATTGGATACTTTAATGCATTTGGTTTCAATTAATTTCACTTATTTGTTCTTCGAAATGAATGTAGTGAAAAGAATCTTCAGGTAACATAAATTACCCAAAGGGGTGCTATGAATCAATAATAAGCGTGCCGTATTAAAAACTCAAGAGCACTGAATAGAGATTAGGAGGTCCTGAGTTCATTCTCTAGTGGCACCATTAAAGGGTATCCCTGAGAAGTCTTATGCTAGGAGGAAACGTCTGTGCAATGCTGCCAGGCTTTCAGTAACTTGAAATAACTAGAGTTTATGTTTTTTTCATTGATACTTGTAACTTCTCGTCACTATACTGGGTCGAATAGCACCATGTCTGTCAGGAAGTAAGTTCCTACATGGATTCCTCAATACTGCCTAAATACTCACTACACTGTGGTCTCATTTGATGGTTAAGAGTGGATTTCATGACACACGTTTCGTCTTTGTGGATAACGCTTTGGAGTTTGAAGTGATGAATACTGGGTTAGAGTCTCAGTTGGAACAATATCACTCACTTCGGTGCAGGTACATCCATCTCATGAGTCCTAAATCGGACGAAATGCACGTTCTGGAATCCACTACAAAGTCTATGTTGGTTAACAAGAGTGACTGAATGATTGCTCATTACAATATCTAGACACTTTCAATTCATTGCGTATAGTTTGTTTGAGAGGTTCATAATCTACGTTCAACCACAAATGTAGATTTTTAAAAAGTACTAATCATAAACATAGCCGGATGATTTGTTAAGTTGAGTTTTTCACAGGTTAACAACCAACGGACCTTTTTTCGAAGCGTTTGGTAGTCATTAGTGTGATTGTGTTGTTCATACCACTGAGCACTCAGGTGTTGAGTAAATTGTGGAAATTTTAAAACCTCTCTGCTGTAAATTGAAAGTCAATATTTATTTGCTTAGGCCAGAACTAAATAGATCATATCCGAAGTATCTTAAGTTACTGTAGACGATGTAAAACTACCACTTTACTGTACTGATCGAATATATGTACCGAAGTTAATCATTTACAATTGGTCAATTAGTGAAAGGAAATAAACATTGTCTTCTGGTTTTGTTCAGTGATAACTATTCTTCTAGTAAGATGAGCATTACAGTTATGAGTCGAATAGCCTTCAAAGGAGACAATCAAAAATGTTTCATTTGGATGTGAACGATACTGAATGTGGTTGACTTTAAAGGGTTAAACTTGTGAAGATAAACCCTAGAATAATGGAGGTCTACTTAAAATCAATATGTACTGGGTGGTTATTCCAGTTTACAGTTAATCATAACTCGTTCGGTGTCTAACTGAAAATTGATCTTTATAGGAAATACATCATTACATCTGTAGAAATAGAATGACTGATAAAATATTGTATAACACCTGAATGAAGTTGTCCTCCCAGTCTGGTTTAATCACTGGTGAAGTATATTTTAATATAACCCAAGAGTTAACCATTCTGTCATTGAGTCGGTTTTCAGTGCTTCATAGTTTCTAACTTCTGAAGGTCCTAAGTTTGGTCAGGTTGCGCATACTGCTGAAGAATTCCATACTATGACGAAACAGCTCTTCAGTGCTCCCAGGTTTTCAATGATTCCTCAACTGGTGTCAGTCCTTAATGAAATACCACCTCTAAATTAAAATCCCCATTCATATCAAAAATATAATCCCAGAGTGTTTTAAAAATTAAAAAAAGAATTTTCTGAATGTTTCACTTTGTAAGTTACAGCGTTTTCAGCAGACTAATTAGATCAAGTAACCATTACATTTTTTTAACTTTGTACATCTTCATTGTCTATTATTCTCGACATACACAAGGAGTTAGTATTCTGCCAAAGTTACATAATGTGTCAAGAATATATGTTATAATAGAGATAAGAGATAATAAGCAAGTCAGTAGTCATCGATTAAATAGAATAGTCGCAGTTAAGCTTGATACATAAATATAGACACTTTCATGTATTGTTAATACCTTCTCATGTTTGCCTATCTCAACTATCCTCTTGAACTAAGTTTTACTACAGATTAGATGGAATTCAGTTAGAATATATTAAACATCAAATATGAAATTATCTACTAACCTGTAGGGAATCCATTCAAGTTTGAGAATAAACAGGTAACAAATAAAACTGTTATACTAAATGAAGAGATCATGTTTTATTGAATGAAAGGGAAAATGATTAGATCTCCACTATCACTTCAAATCGACAAATATTTATACTGTCAGTGTTTTTGGTAATTTTCCAAAATAATTATACCAAATTAATAAATTATCTTTTCTATAAAATCTGATGGGCTATTCTAGACAAAGTTTTAATCCCATTAATAACCGGATATAGAAATATAAATTTATCCAACTATTAACGACAGTATAATTATTACCATTTTGACTATTTGAGATAACTGTGGTTTGATTAAGTTACAAAGCCTACATATTCCTTGAACAATGAATAGTAATTGAAGATGAAATTAAAATTTGGACCACGGTAGGATTCGAAGCAGTTAACTACTGGATTCCTTGCTCAATGCTCTACCAACTGAGCCGGTAACTCGGTGGTCGCTGGTTTGAATTAGCCCACAATCCAAATTTTCATTTCACCTTTAATCATCACCCAGTATAAATACCAGTATGCCAAACTACGGCTATCTCAGATTCAGATAGTCAAATGCTAATCAATATAATGCTTCCCCTCTCTAATTCACTTACATTTAGATTGGGATGAGAAGTCCTGACTAGACAATCAGTGTGAATACGATCAAGGAGTAGTAACATGTCACGAATTTACATGGTAGTCGTCGAGCAAACTTCTTGGTGATTGAAGTGAAATAAAGAGTATGGTGAGTAGTCGGACCTCGTAGGTGAGCTGGTAGAGCAGAGCACTGGGTCGGCAACCCGGTGGTCACTGGTTTGAATCTGGCCTCTGTTCAGATTGCCATCTTGCTTTCATTCATCACCCGGTATTAATACTAGTCTGCCAAACTGCCGCTATCTCAGATAGTCAAATGATAATCACTATGATTCTCCACCTTCCTCATTCAGTCAGATTTCGATTGAGATGAGAGGTCCTAACTAGGCAATCAGTTTGAATACGATCAAGCAGTAGTAGCGTGTCACGAATTCACATGGTAGTCGGGCAAAACTCTTGTGATTGAAGTGAAATTAAATTGTGGCCAGTAGTCGGACCTCGTAGGTGAGTTGGTAGAGCACCCGGGGCGGTAACCCGGTGGTAGCTGGTTGGAATCTGATCGTGATCCAGATTTTCATCTCACCTTCAACCATCACCCAATATTAGTGCCAGTTTATTTATCGTTAACTGGTTACAGTGATAATAAAAGTCATCCTCACAAGCAAACAAACGGATTATCTTACCTGACATTAGGAATATCTCAGTGATCATAACTAGATTACTAAATCCATTTAGAATCAATGTGGCTCACAAGAACACAAAATTTCTTCACTCTTTGTCATACAGACCAAAACAAAGTACGATGGCAAAGAAATAGAAACCAAACATAATCTACAAAATAAATTTCAGAAACTGTTAAGAACACTATATCGGGCAGACAGCTTGCCCTCTTCCAATGTTTCCACTTGAACATCAAATAGGAGTGAAACATCATAACATATCTCCGCTCATATCAATGCATTTTGACAATTGTAGATATAAATTTCAGTAGGAAAATATGAAAATCTTAGACAAAGGGAATACAAAGTATGTTAAAGATTTTTAGAAGTTTAGTATTCAGTTCAGTCAGTGAATAACATAGATAATGACACTGACTCCATCTATCACCCGAAACAAACACGTCAAAGTTGATGTCTGCAGGACAACCAAGTGAAATATATGCGGAAACAATGACAAGATTTTCGGAGAAACACCTAACCACACTCAAAAGTCATCAGGACAATCTACTGAATCATTTTTGGAGAAAACCACATAACTCACTTCTTCCTCGAGTTGATGCTGATGATGTTATATAGAATGAGAATGAAAGCTTGACGATAGAGCCATCCAGCTCAGAGAGCACAACACCAACAAAACCATCCTATTGTACTACAAATATTCGCTATCATCACAAAAGTATGCGCTTTCAATGCTAATTAGAACAAGTAGTAACTAACTGACAATCACATTTTAACAAACTGAGTTCAATAAACTGATGGAATAATGAAGATCACAGAAGAAGATTGGGATTTCGTCAACGATGACCATTTATGTCTGATATCTTGTCGCACAAACTCGAAGATCTACAGGCAAAAACCAACAAGTTGACAGGAGAGGCAGAGAAGAGAAGGGGCTGGCACTTCCTTCACATGAACGTAGAGAAGACAGAGGTGATGAAGATACCCAAACAACAACACCATCAACAGCAACAACAAGCATCAATCACAATCAATGAGAGAAATGTAGACGAAGTTGTCTCCTTCACCTACCTGCATAGGCAGCATCGTTTCAACTACACACGGTGGCGGTGGTGGTGATGGTGGAGGCACGGATGAGGATGTCATAGCCAGTCAGCATCGGAGAGACAGCAAGACACACCTTCCTGCATTATTCTGAAATAATCAGTGTGGAGATCTACTACACTCCACTCCACTCAACTCCACTCAACTCAACTCAACTCAATTCAACTCACTCAGCATCAAGAACAAGATGTGAATTTGTTTTAACACCGATTCAGTCAATTAAGTCAGTGCTTCTGTGTGATGGTTGAGAGACTTGGTGGCCCTTGAGGCGAAGCATTTCCAACAAACTGCAGATATACATCACATGAACAGCTGTCGCACACACTCACTCGATACTGACACTGAATATCAGATGGATGGCGAGAATAATAAGAATAAGCAAGAAGGGTGTGTGGCTGACTGACTGGCTGGCTGGCTGGCTGGCTGGCTGGCTGGCTGGCTGGCTGGCTGGCTGGCTGGCTGGCTGGCTGGCTGGCTGGCTGGCTGGCTGGCTGGCTGGCTGGCTGGCTGGCTGGCTGGCTGGCTGGCTGGCTGGCTGGCTGGCTGGCTGGCTGGCTGGCTGGCTGGCTGGCTGGCTGGCTGGCTGGCTGGCTGGCTGGCTGGCTGGCTGGCTGGCTGGCTGGCTGGCTGGCTGGCTGGCTGGCTGGCTGGCTGGCTGGCTGGCTGGCTGGCTGGCTGGCTGGCTGGCTGGCTGGTGACGAACCATGGAAGCAAGAACTCAACAAATGTGCAGGAGAAGAGAGTGTAGATGGATTGTATGGATTGGATTGGGTCGGACATGTACTGAGAAAGAAAGACGGTTTGGGGACATCACGTGGTGGGCCAGGCCAAGCGTCGAGTGGAAGGTGATTGGGAAACGACTAGTTGGGCGTCCGAGGTGAGGGTGACATGGAGGAGATGATGTGAGGAAGAAATGAGAGCTTTTTAGCGGACATGGAGACCGGTTTAAAAGACTGCAGAGATGAGAGTGCAATGGAGGCGTGTTTGTGTTCCTATGTTCCACCATGAACCGAAGCGAAAAATAAATAATAAATAAACTGACATAAATTATTTTCAGGTTTCATGTGAATCAGTTAATTTTTGTATTCAGAAATTCTTGTTCCTCTTCCGAATTGATGGAAATGTCAGAACACAGTTAAAGTCTATTGGCTGCATGTACAAACACGTCGATTCTACTGAACGCGCAGTGAAGGAATGCTTAAACTAGTTACCGGAGGCATTAGAACATTCTGCAGATTAACAACACATAAACAGGATCTCTAGGTATTGTCAGGTGTAAATAAAATTGGCATTACTTCAGTCCAAACTTTACGCGATACTATGCAAACTGCATGTACCTACTCCAACTGGTAGATGGATTATATTTTACTCAGATTCTACCATAATCTTAGGCTTACGGTTATCGAATTATTGCTACTTAACTGGTTATTTAAGTAGTTGCATGGATGGCCTTTAAAGTTGCTTCCATTGCATACAGGTTAAATAAAATAATTGAGTAACTAATCTATAAGTGTTTTGTGTAATCAAGAAGACATAGTTATGTGCGGAAGTAATAACATGAGCTGCTGCCTAGTTAGAAAAGCCACATCATCAGAGCTTATCGTTAAAATTCATAACAAAAGTGGTACATAATATGAATATTTTAACCACTATGAATAGTTATAGAATAGGAAATTCCGTAATCAAAACAATGATCGTTTTGATGAGCCTCAGGAATGTTTCACTCACTTAATGACCTCGAAAAGGATGGAAACAACAATCTTGGCAGAATTATTATTATTATTATTATTTGTCCCTTGGGTTCCTAATGGAACATAGGGATTCAGTAGCACATCTCCAGTGCACTCTGTTCTCTGAAATTTTTTGAACCTGGTTCCACGACAGCTCAGAAGCCCTCATTTCTTCCTCACACCATCTCCACAATTGTGACTTTCCGTCCTTTTGAGTTGAACCTTGCTGTTATGATTCCGGAGGAGATTGGTTCCTACTGCATGAGAGCCTGCGATGCTGTTGGGGACATCATGATAGCCACTTCAATTCTCAGTGTCCTGGTGGTTATCGTCCGGGTGACCGGAGTAGATTATTGATTCTCCAGTTGACAGTTTGAAGAGTCCACTTCCACTCCATCTGCTTTAGCGAATTCGTAACAGTTCAATGCTGTACCCTCTCAGCCCCTTTGCAATCTGAGCAGCCTTGGTAGGTTCAAACATTGTGCAGACATTCCATGTCCCCACGTTTACTTTCGCTTTCATCAAGAGAAGATACATTAGCCAATTGGCTTCCCGAAAGCAGGGTTTTACCAACCGGCGTCATTTCGCCTCTCCGAATCCAGCGAGGAATAATTTTGTTTTTATTTTTGATATTTTCTTTGTGCTTTGAAGTTTCTTTAGCGGTTGGATTGGTTTTACGGGGTAGGGTTGCTAGCCCTACGCCCAACGTTCCCTCTTTACCCGGACTTAGGACCGGCTAGTAACTAGTGAACTAGTTAACCAGGCGGGGTTTTGGCAAAATAACACACACCATTATTTTATTTCATTAGTTTCATATAATCTGCATACAACTCAAAATATCGAAATCAAAATTTGGTTCTAGATGTTAGGAATTAGGAAGCCAAGAGAGTGGGTTTCATGCTTCCTGGTAAGGCACTTTTACAACCAAGAGAAAACTAGTATTCGTTGGATGATTTAAAATTGCGTAACATGGTGTTGAAGTCAGACAGAAAACTGACAAGTTATTTATACTGAATGATGATTGAAGGTAAAATAAAACTTTGGACCGCGGCCAGACTCCAATCAGATACCATCGGGTCTCTGGCCCCATGCTTTACCAACTGA